AAAAAATCTAACAAAAAAATCTAAACAAATCTAACAAGGAAACGAAAGAAAAAAAGAAAAAAGAAAAAAATCTCCAAAAAAACGGCCACTCCTCGCGGCGCCATTTGGCGCTTTAGTTTTTTTTTTTCTATTTTTTTTTTCTCCCGCTTTTTTTTTCTTCTTCTACCGTTGGCTCAGGCCAACGGTCGCGTCGTTTCGTCCGTATGGCCCCAACCAAAAGAAAAAAAAAGAAAACCAAAAAAGGAAAAGAACCTGACTTACCTCGTGGTTCAATCGTCCTTCGCAGAGCCCGCACCTCGGGACTTACGCGTCCAGCTACGGGACAATTTTTTTTTATTTTTTTTTTTTCCAAAAAGAAAAGAAAACAAATTCGGACCATTTCTCGGCCTATGCGTGTCATCCTTATACAGGGGCTACATCACCCCGGCGCGGCTGATCTCGGTCCCGCGATCTCACAGATCCCACGACCGAGAATTGGCCGCCCCCTTTGTCAAGTCACGGGCTGCTCCAAAAGGAGTTAGCCCGGTAGTGCAGGTTGTTAGGTTCGATCCCCATGTCTGCAGGGTAGTAATCTGGCAACGGTACCTACTGGGCTAGCTCCTTTTCACATCAGAAAAGGAGCGGGCCTTCCATATGAAGGGTTCCTAGTGCCCAACAGGCCCCTTGCTAACGCCAGGCTATGCGTGCTAAGCCGTCTTATTACCGCGGCTGGAAGGCGAGGTCGGCAGCCGACAGCTTTAACAGCTGCCGTACTTAGCCGGCCTCGACGCCTTCACCCCCGGGTCCTTGGCGCAAAAGCCGTATGGACCCTAAGCCATCCCTTCACGCCGCGGTCCATCTTGCCGCGGCGACCCCTTTTTGGCCTACTTAGGCCCTGAATCGCGCGGTTGTTACCTTACTATAGGTAGAGTAGGCTGAATTTTAGTTTCCCTACGACCGCACACCAGCGCGGCCTCGTCGAAAACCCGCGGACGACAGTGCTGACTCCCGTTATCCCGCACGGATGTCGGTGTCGTCCTGCGTCGACGACGTCAGGTTCAAAAAGTTCAAGTCTTTCAGTCATAGCGCTGGTCTGGATAAACTCTGGCAACGTCAATCTCATCTAGTCTTCTAACTAAGTGAGAAAGTCAGACAGCGTCCGACGTTGAAAAACAGGGGCAGATACCCTTGTCAGGGTTTCTACCCCGACAGCATTCCCGGGCCCCATTGAACGACTTCCACGTCGTTCACGTGGTCGGTACTTCTCAACATAAATTTTTACAAATACCTTTCTTAGTATCTCTCAATCTTTATAAAATCACAGATACTTTAATAAGCGGATATCCGAAAAAACGGACTCCTTACTATTAAACGAGTTATGCCATCGAAGCCAAAATTTAAAATCATTCTGCATTCATCGGTTGGCTACCAGATTCAGCCCCTGGAAGCCCAAAATTTTGAAACTCAGGCCCAGATTCAGCCCCTGGAAGTCCAAAATGCAAAGAACTTAGTTTTCATAGTTTTGGCTAACAAAATTCATTTGGTTGGAAAACATTATTTTAATCATATGGGCAAGCAACCATCACCGCCGAGAATTTAACCCGGGTCTCTCATGTCCATGGAGATGCATCCACAACACCTCAACACACTCACGTGTCGCCAGGAGTTTAACCTGGACCTCCCACGTAACACAAGGATACTCGTTCTATACTACAGTCACGGCTGTCGGGGATGATAAGCAAGGCTTCATCTTTCCACCATCCCTTCTGGCTGTATTAACCTTCAACTAGTTACCAGAATGAGTCAGGAATAACCCCTGACAGGCCTCCATAACCCAACCTATGATAATCGTTCAGACATGATCTGAACTAGCCATTCAATACAAGAACCTTTTATTTAAGTCCTTTACCTGAGTTCCATAACCCACCTGATTGTGCAACTTTACAAATACCCAGGATTATTATGTTATAATATCCCCAAACTCTATGTGACTGCGTCGAGGAGTGGTGTAATCCTCCACAAAGGATAACATCTCGACATCAAACCCCGCTTTAGATTCGAGCCTCACCACATTCCCTCCGATTCCAGTATCGCAACCCTGTCAATGCCACGTTTACAGGGCGAGATAACCCCATCCCTATAGTCCAAGTTGGTCAGACGAGGATCATAAGGACGCGGCGACCCTGCATATCACAAGGATAAACGACCAACCCTACCCTTGTGATAAGCAGCAATTGCTCCCCACCATAGGCGAGGTGTCAACAGGATTACGACACCATCCTCCTTTTCGGAGATAGTGTAGCCATCGCCCTTTTTCAAAGAAAATGACATCATCTCGTTGTGGACCAGGAACCAAGTTCCGGCACGAGCCTCACTACCACCTACAAGGCTCACATCTTCCAGGAATATCAAGACACAATAAGGACTAGGTATTACATATAAACTTATTATATTCATTAGACCATGTGCCTATAGAACAAATACTTATCGTTAAGGAAGTCACATGTTCCAAAATTTTATACACATTTTACACATCAAGTCACGACTTTGCACAAATGATTCAAATCAATCTCTCACAAACAAAACTCATTCCACATAAAAAATAAAAAAGATGTATGCTCAGAGAATCATCTTTACAAAGCTTGAAAAAATTATTATGCACATCAATTATCTTGCTCGAGAACGAAGAATAATGACAAAAATGACATCAACAAGTAATTCATTACAAATCCATATGTGTCTGTCCATGACATGGAAAATATATCTTACAAATACTTAATCATAGAATCAGGTTAGCCTGTGGTATCAATGTCTGTTAAGAAAAGTAAGGCATTATCTAGTCCCTATGAACAAACTTCTTCAAGCGCGAGCCCGAAACCCAATCTCGTCTACGTGCTCCATCCATCTCCTCAATCTCGTATGCCCCATGCTCTGTTTTTTAACGGTACGATATGGCCCCATCCATCGATTATCTAATTTCCTCGACCACTGTTTTTCAAGAGAAGAGTCATAGAGGAGGAGAATATCCCCCACTTCCAATGGTTCCTTCCGAACCCGGGGTTGCTTATCCCATCTAACTTTGTCCGCCCATCTGCTGTCCGCAGTTGAGGCAGCAGCCTCTACAACTCTTTCCTCAGTAACTTTTATCTGTCTGGCTCTCAGGTCCAACAATTTTTCTGTAGAAAGTCTGACTTTCATATCCTGTTTTTACCATGTGGTTAGGAAACTCTCGATTGGAAATTTAGCATGTCGTCCAAACCATAACGTAACCGGAGCATATCCAGTAGTCCGTTTTATGGTTATGTTTTCAACAAATATGGCAGCTCTGAGATAGACGGTTCATGCTGATGGCTTGCCAGCACACCATTTAGCTAGCAAATTGGTCAAGGTGGCATGCCCACGTTCGACCGGAGCATTAGCCTGGGGATGCGCTCTACTGGTATAATTATAGTTCACTCCCAGTCTCCTCAGCAGAGCCTGAACTTCTTCCGCCCGAAATTCACCGCCTCGACCCATCACAAATTCCCGAACAAATGGGTACCGAAGGTAAAACTCTTCGATACATTCTGCCAAAATTTTTCCGGTTCGCTCACGGATTACACGCCCATCAACAAACCCGGTAAGATTGTCTCTCGCATCAAATATGTACCTGTACCCATTAAGTCCGGGTGGCATAACGATCAGGTCGAGGTGCACAATCGCACCTGGCTCAACCACATATCGTGGATTAAGTGGCTCAGCATAGCGGAGATTCGAACGTTTCTGACAGGGGACGCACGAGTTGCAGAACTCTGCCACCATCTTACCCATACCATCCCAAAAATAAAGATGTTGGATCTTTCTCGAAGTCACTCGTGCAGATCGATGTCCACCTGCCACTCCATCATGTAGGGCCGCAATCACATCCAACTGTCTGGAAACCCCACACACCACTCTCTTAGGCGTACCATCGTCAGACTTTTTGAAGAGATGCCCCTGTCGAACGACAAAACCCTTTGCCTTTTCTCTTATTTCTGGCTCTATCTCTGCCTCATTCAAGTCCCCATTCAACCAAAGACCAACCTTCTTATAAGTCCCATCATATTCCTCTTCACGAAAGGCTTCTTTGATCTCACTGCCTTCCCCTTCTTCCAACATTAGCTTACCATGATCTTCCTGTATCAACGAATTAACAAGAAACACCATTCCCTTAGAAATCTTGAGGACTTCGTCGCCTTGCTCATGCCCCCCTTCAATCGTAAGGGGTTCTTCCGAAAGTTGTACTGGGTCAGACAACGCCAACCTCATCATTCGCTCAGCAAACCGTTCACCCCAAGGATCCTCCTAAAAAAAGGGTTCCCTCATCACCAGCTCTACACACTTTTGATAAGAACTCGGCGAACTTCAGATAGACTTCCCAGGTCGGGACGACGCATTACTGATGTATTCCCAAACATTGATACTCAGCTGTTGCTCGTCCGTCTCCAGAAACCCATCCACAAGGACCGAGTCTTCTGCCTGATCTTTCGAGGAGTCCCACTCGATCCGACTCAATCCGTCGGCTCGATTTTGTGTTCTCGCAATACGCTCGATCTCGAAATCGAACATCCAGATATAGATCAACCATCGAGCAATAGTTGGATCCGAGGGAGAATAATTCTTCAATGACTGCGCCAGGGCAGTCGGATCAACCCGCAGTACGAACCGTCTTCCTAACACGTAGTTTCGGAAGATCCTGAAGCAATAAAGCATTGCAAGGGTTTCCTTCTCAAATTGGGAATACTTCCGTTCCGCCTCATTCAATGTTCGACTTTCAAATCTCAATGGCCTTTCTCGCCCTTCTCCGTCCTTTTGGATGAGGACTCCACCCAATGCTGTGGGACCTGCATCCGTTTCAACCACAAAGGGCCGATTCGGGTCATTGTCAAAGTACGAAACCCCAGGATCAACCCTCCTTCTCGGAATTATGCCTTGATGTCGTCGACTGCCGCCTGCTGCTTTGGACCCCATTCCCATTCCTGATTTTTACGCACCAACTTCCGTAGGTGCTCCACCCTTGTGGCGAACTTGCGAATGAAAATGCGCCAGAATCCGCAAGTCCCCAAAAAACTGCGCACATCAGTGATGGACTTAAGCGGAGTCGGCCATTCCAGAATCTTGTTTGTCTTCTTGGAATCTGGCGGACGACCCTTCTCATCGCAGAAGAAGCCCAAGATAGTTGCCTCACGCATACAATGCCGAGATTTGACACTGCTGGCGGTGAGGTTGTACTCCTTTAACTTGGACAAGACCTTCTCCACGTTACGAACGTGCTCCCAAACAAACTTTCGAACGTCTGGCAGCACCTCCGTCTCATCCTTCACGCGCGGCCCAGGTATGGCCAAGTCATCGATATAAGGGGAGGTTACGTCCGGACAAAGTGGTTGCATGACTCTCATCATATATCTCTGAACAATTGCTACGACGTTCGTCCATTCCTTAGGCGCCGCACACATATGAATTAATCCCCTCGACGTATGCATGGCCGCCATCGGCCTGTCTGCCGTATAGAGAGGGAATTGATCATATCCTGAGTACAAGTCAATGAGAGTGATGATAGGTCTGCCTGCGCACGACTCAGACAACTGATCGGCATGTGGAAGTCCTCCGGCATCACGAACCGTCACTGAGTTCAGCTTCTGCAAATTCTGCACCCATCGCAATACACCATTTGGCTTGACGAAACAAAACCAAGGGGACGCATATGGTCCATATGAGTAATCCGTGACCTTTGTTCGAATCTTACCATCCAAATATTCAACGACTCTACGATGATCATTCGGATTTGGATAACGCGGACCTCGTATGTTCCACGGCTCGTGAGGTACCGTATGAACCCTGATCATCGGAATCATGTCAACGTCAAGCCTCCCTCGCTTGTCATCATCGAAGGCGTAAGGCAGATGAGTTTTCTTCATGACACTTACAAGGAAGTCCACCTCCTTCCCAGTAAGAGACCCTTCCTCTCTAATGATCATATTCTTAATCCTCTCCTCCGTCAATCGACATGGTGCCTTCATACTCTTTTCTTTCCTCATCCTGATCCACTCCCTTTCTTCTTTATAATACACTTCTTCCTCTTGCGTGATCAAGACGGGCACTGGCCGTGCTTTCTCGCCTACTCTCTTGTACTTACGTTTCGCTCCAACTCCAAGTCGTCCACCTCTAAAAAAGGCCCTTGCTTGGCTTCTGGCTCCGCCGATGCATCACCCTCAGAAGACCTGTCCCGCCTTCTCCTGCCACAATCTCTGTTAATGTTTGGGCCAACTTGGGATCCACCGACGAGTCTGTCGCAACGAACTCGATTGCTTGAGAGATGTGGGGTAGAGCAAGAAAAAATTCATGGGGATCGCTCTCTTCTCCGAGGGATTCCTTCTCCCTTCCGAGTCTTTCGGATTCCGTGAAAGAGTAGGACCCCGGATTGAGTCGGTTCCTTGAGTTGGTTGGTCTTGTGTTCTCACACTTCAGCACCTCGTAATAGCCACATACGGGGTCACACAAAACCACGATCATAGTACCATCGTGCTTGTTAAAGATGATGGATTCTGATCGACATAGAAAAACTATGCCCAACAACACGGCATGCTCAACCCTGGGTAGCACAGAGAAATAAGAACGGACTTTGACTTTACCAACCTGTACCGTCACGTCACTCGCCGTTCCGCAAAAGGGAGTTATCCCACTTGCACCCACCAGGAATCCAGTATCTGCTCGATTGATGTTGACTCCTGCCCCCATGGCTTCTTTTTCCCGTATAATGTTCATTTCAGCTCCATCATCGATGAGAGTTGAATATTCACATGACCCAATTTGCACTTTCAACAACCCAGTAGCTACACAGTGCCAGTCCATTTTTGTCCCAGGCGGAGCCCAACTAATCTCTTAGGGAAAGATATCACTCATTTTAACCGTCATCACCTTTTTCCTTGACAGTCGGTGTCTGAACTCCTCTCGGATTTTCAGTGACGCGGCCAAGAATTCCTTGAGCGTGAACAAATCGCGTTGGCTCTCCAAAATCCGATCCACGATTTGCTCAATATCCAGCCCTTGCTCTACCGGAATCGTGTAAACTTGCTTCTTTTTTTTCAACTCACCTTCCCCAATATCGGCCTTGCCCATTTCCGGCTCCCTCTCCATGGCCCGTTGTTTGGCCTGCCGCTCATCCTCGGCCCGCAACAATTCGTCCTCCTCACCATCGTCTTCTTCAATTGAAACTGTCTTGGTTTCCCGAGGCTGACTTGGTCCCTCTTCTGGCGCTGCCCTTGGCCGCGGCGGCCTTCGAGCCTTCCAAGCTTGTGGGAGACCAGCGGTGGCAGGTCGCTTGAAAGCACGACGGGACAAAACTGTGGTGGCCATCAAATGCCCTGCCGACGACGATCCAGGCTGTGATGAGGTACCATCAGTAAGACCTCCTTGGCTGTCTCTGTTCCATCCTCCAAACAGAAAAACTTGGGGAAGCCCTAGTCATTCTTCATTCATTTCGGCGCATATTTGAACAAAAGCTTCCCTACATCGAGTCATTTTTCTGACCACTGCTTGAGCTCGCTGCAGTATCTCTTCCTGCTCTTTGCTCAACCCTTCATCTCCAGCCTTGGCATCCTCAATTGTCCATGACTCCATCGTCGCTTCCAACTCAATCTGTTCGACCTCTTCCGGAGAAGTCAGTCGAAAAGTTGTTGGAAAATCTCGCCCCATACGTCGGAAAGCTTCCTTCTTCATTCCTCCCTCCACATTGGGATCGATGAGATTCCCTTCAAAGTCGTAGACCACGCCTCGGATATTCGTATATATAACCTTATCATTTTCATCTTTGGTAACGGTCTGACAAAATCGTATCCCATGTCCAGCTTGGCCACAATACCTGCAAAACCAATTCTGCCAATTGCCTCGGCCGCCCCCATTTCCTCGGCCTCCCCCATTGCCTTCGCCTCTACCTCGACCTTGGCCCCGGCCTCCTGCCTGAGGTTGGGGTTGCTGAGGAGGGGTCTGCGCCACTTGTTCCTGGTTGCTTCCTTGTCCACCTCCTCCATTATTGTTTCGTTGCTTTTTGCTAGTGCCCTGCCCTCCACGTATCTGGTTCAGGGCCTTCCGTTCTGCTTTGGTCAATTTATAAGGAGACTCCTCTTCCTCCTCGTCTTCCTCTTCACTGCTGCTATCACTCACTTCCTCCATAACGGGTGCTTTCCCCTTCCTTTTCCCTCCTTTTGTCTGGACCATCATCACTTGTAGCTTTAACCTTTCCTCCTTCATGTCGGCCATCATGTTCCGCATGTAAGTCAGGGTCTTGTAAACGGCTTGATCCTTGTCCGCGCTTACCCCTTCCTTCTCACGGTCCTCCTTTTGCTGCTTCAGAAGACGGTAAAGCATTTGGTCGAAACTTTCGGCCAACAAATTTTCCTTTATGTTTGGCCAGTCGTATCGCCCCGTCATATCCTTCATCAGTTCTCGCTGCTCAACTTCCGAAGATTTTTCGAGGAAGATGAGGCACCAATCCTTATCTGGAACATCGGGTACTAAGCGCGCAACCCGCTCAAACTCCGTAAGAAACTGTTTGGCCATACCAAACTTCCGACAACTAACCTTCCGTAAGTCCGCCAGATCGAGCAGTTGATCCCCCAACTGGTACTTGTCCAATAATTTGGCCTTAAAGTCCGGCCAGTCGCGCGAAGCTTTCACCAACTCCGACACCTCCTCTTTGTACTCGACCATACAATATCGCTTCACCATTTGAAGCATCTTCTCACTCGACCATTCGCAACAACTGCCCAATTATTCAAACTTGTCCGCCCATGCTGAGGCGTTGGTGCCATCGAAGAGGGGAACTTGAACCTTCGACAACTGTGTCTTCTGATTATCATCCTCACGAATGGCTCGTGCGAGTTCCATAATATCATTGCGACGATCCCCTGCATTACTATTTGCGGGATCAGCATTTCCTCCCGTCATCTTGAGAGGATCAACATGACAAACCCACATGTCCAAGTGTCAAATAGATTCCAACAACACGACAAACCCCCATACTGAGGCATTGGTGCCATCGAAAAGGGGAACTTGAACCTTCGGCAACTGTGCCTTCTGATTATCAGCCTCACGAATAGCTCGTGCAAGTTCCAGAATATCATTGCGACGATCCCCTGCATTACTATTTGCGGGATCAGCATTTCCTCCCGTCATCTTGAGTGGATCAACACGACAAACCCACATGTCCAAGTGTCAAATAGATTCCAACAATTCACTCCAAACCTTGCCTTCTTTCTTTTCCCAGACATTAATAACCACTGACTACTTTCAATCCAAACAAATAATACACAATACTWAAAATCMCYATAACYATYCTTTTTCCGAGTGTCGTTCCACCAGGGACAATGGTAATTCACCGTCGATCCCCGGCAACGGCGCCATCTGTCGAGCGCATCGGCCCCCGCGTGAGCAAGGGCCCTCCCGGCTATGTCACACAGGAGTTATAACCAAACAAAATTAAGAGACAACTTAGGACGACGCATAAATAATCCCACGAACCGCCGAGACGGACGTGATTGCATTGTCCCTTCGCCGCTCTAGCCGGGTGCGCCAGGTGTACATCCCACGGTCCCCTACGACAGGATAGTTTCTCGCGGGGCACATCTTACCTTCCCTAAGGGGCTGTCACCACCCTTAGGGGTGTATTCCCGTCGAACTACCAACCCACATGCGAAAGTTTTTACATGCAATTGCAGAGGTAGGTCAGCCGAGGGCGCTTGCTCGCTCACTGGAGTATAGGTACGCTTGGTTAACGCCAAGTGGACCCGAACGTCGTCCGTTCCCGAGGGCGCTAATCTCCTCGGTACGAACGAGCATCAGTCGACTAGGACGGCCTCGACCAAACATGAAATCCTATGTATAATCATAGTACCGTTATAATCTCATACTCATAAACAACATTTCGACTTGACGAGACGACCTGCCAAGGTTATCATTTCCTGCTTGCATGACCGGAGAGACAATGTTACTGTCGTCCGAAGACAGAAGATCCGTTACGCACAGCTTATATAAATAAATATCACTGGTACCATGCAGATCAACAAGTGATCTGGCTCCTGGTCGGCGTTTGAACTCCCAGTTCGACCATATTGTCGTACCGCATACATCTATTCGGGGGAGTGACTGACAATTCTGTCGGTCGATTCGTCCTCCTAGGCAATAATTACTCTCTCCGTTCCACGAATGACAAAGTACCCATCCCCAACACCAGATATTCAGCATGGAGATGTTTCATCTCCTGATACTTCGCCTTTGCCGTTTTACTGGACACCTTCTCAGGTGTTCGGTTTTTATTTTGCTCGACTCATTTTTCACCGATCGATTACCCCTCAATGCATAAGCATGATAGTGCCATCATCGGGGTAATCCAAATACTTTCCATCTGGTTGGCCTACCTACGCAAGATTGTTGTTTTTTTTGGTTATTATTACCCTTGTAGAGTCACGTAGATGTGGCCCTACAAAAGAACCACTTACCACTGCACCTGACTCGAGAGGGTGTGCTCAGCCAGGATAAACCTGTCGGCCCTCACGGGCCTCTACCTCGATCCGATCGAGTCGCGTAAGCTCCTCGTCATCAAAAGTCAAGGTGGAGACACGTCTACCTCCGCATAACTCGGACCTTCCGCGTGTTATAGAGAGAAACCACCCGTGAGGCGAGCCTCCAAACTATGGCGCGGAACGGTTGGCGCATCCGAAACAAGTGCGTGGTAGTGGTTTCTTTAATCCGGATGATGCCGTAGCGCTCCCCGGATAGGGTAATTTTGATGCTCACAAAGATCCGAGAAAGGCATTGGAGGTTGCTCGCGCGATGGAAGTACAAGGTATATCCATGAACTTCTCCCGGAAGTCGAGCCACATTGGCACGAACATCTGCGCGCGAGTTGGGAAAAAATCTCTGCCCATCACTGAGCAGGCCGATAAATCCAACCCAGCGTGTGGGCACTCCATCTCGAACCAGTAATAGTCGCTCTGCTCGCCCGATCAGCTCCTCGTCCGTAGTGTCGCGAATCAGTAGATATCTGGCCTGGGTGCAGTCCCGCCGTCCGCTAGGCATCTGCATACCGAAGAAGCCACCTGTTAGAAGAGTCGCTCATAAATTTCAAAAGCCTCATCATAAAACGCAGTGACGTCGAAACGTTCCGAGCGTATGATATTAAATTTATTCGCTCGGACCCGTCTCACATGATGAAGGAGGCCGAACGGACCTTGCAAATCATTCAAATGGAGTACAATATAGAGGAACATCCCTCTAACCTCAGGAATGTTCTCTACTTCTGGACAGTCCTCGTGAACCACAACTAAGTGCATGTCTCCATAATCTCGTGATGGATTCGGAATCGCAAAGTCATATCGTACAATATATTGGCCTGGCTCGACCAAAAAAATATAACTCCGCGGTGGTTTTCTCGCGCTCCCTTCCCAGAATCGTGGCACGTCCCGTTCCGAGTAAACCTGTAGAGGGTTGTATACCAGCCTTCCTCTCCGTGTCGTGCCGGCGCGGGATCGTGTCGGCACCGCTAACCAATTAGCTTCCGCCTCGCGTGTGCCGAAAAATCGGAGAATCAATGTCTCCGCAAACATCTGGACAACGAAGCGGTAACTCTGTCAAAATAACTCAGATATATTCATTTCCATGTTCAATCTTTACTCCCCTTTTCGGGCCGTGATTCTTGTGTCACAGTCCGTCCGCGAAAGTAGTGCCTATTTGCACTTCTTTTAACACTAGTTGAATCACGGGCAGGGCTTCTTGTAGCGCCAACCCTCCCACACGTAGGTGGCACCTAATATGGCCACCCAACAGGGCTTCAAGACCCCCTACCCTCTAGGAAGTGGTCTGGAATACCCCTTCCCCTCGCCCGAACACATTGTTCAGGACTCAGAAGTTGGGCTGGCTCCACCGCAACAGCATGGTATCCCCCCGCATAAGCGGTCCGCTCCGAGTCGCTAACAGGGCCGGCCCCTAAGGCAACGAACCCCCGCCTCGGATGCCTCCTAGAGAGAAGAAGCCTAGACCCTAGGTGCAGACAACCGCTCTATRCCTYCCCGGCTAAGGGTCGACTTAGACGAATTAAGAAGAGAAAGRAGTAAAATATTTCTAGACGGGCATAGAAGGATARTGGTCGTTCGGGATAGAATGGGGGAGTTCTTGGGAAGWTACTAAGGTGTTCCCTTGTCTTCTCTTCTTTTAATTTTCCCACGRCCTYCGTTCTTCCRGCACMSGTYCRTTCGCACTCCCGTTATTATTTTTGTTCCYCCTCTTTTYCGTMACRTGCATTCAGGTTSAGTGAGAGAGAGGTAAGCATCCCCATTATTATCTCGAGCAAACAATGTTGATTCCTTCTCACATGCATCTCCCAACCTACCTGCACAATCAGGAAAAGAAATAATCCAGAGATTCATCCATCCCCCAAACAAGTCAGCCCTTTCTTCATACGCATGACGTCACAATCTTGCTCTACCTTTTCCCATGAATTCAAAGCAAGGTCATGCAATGTGTGGGTTCACGCGGGTGTGCAGAGGAGCTGAGTCGCACTGACCTTGAGTGAATTCCTTGAAGGCTCACTCAAGAAAGCCAAGTATTTGCTGAAAAAAGTTCGGCCGCGAAACTCTCGTTGTGGCCACTCACAAGGATGGGTCACACCCTCCTTCAACCGCCACCTCTAACTGAAGCGTCGCTCACCAACAAAGAAGCGATCCCACCGTTGAGGAGGGCGTCGCACTCTCAAATCCCACAGCCTCAATGTCACACCTTCCACCAAAGACAGTACTGATTCAACCCACCAAATACCAAGTCAGGCCACCACCTGCCTGCCGCAATACTTGGTGGTCTCGGACCCAATCCCCGCTTACTTAGTGTACTGCAAAAAAAATAACAGCGGGCTTAACAGTCCTTACAGGTACCGTGTGCCGCAACGTCCTCAACAAGACGATCGCCACACCCTTTCTATTACAAAGTGCACCTCCACCTTGGCGGTATCGTCCCTGCGGCAATGTTCAACCCCCCATCTCGCAGTCCTGTGCAAAATATTGTTGCCACACAATCCAATAGCACCCCCGCTGTACCGCTGAGAAAATCGGTGCTGCCGCCGCACAATTTCGGCAGCGCTTCCACTGTACCGCCAAGAATACCGGCGCTGCCGTTGCACAATTTCGGCAGCGCTTTCGCTGTTCCGCTAAGAGTACCAGCGCTCCCGCCGCCCTTCCTAAAAAACCAGCAGCAACCTCAAGGCCACGGCTTCCCCACAGCCTGCAGCACAGCACAGAAGGTGGGGCAAGAAGCTCCCAACCTTTAGCTATGGCTGCCTCCTCCTTCCTCCAAGTGCTTCTTCAGACCTTCAGCACTTCGCCTCATCACACCAGCAGCCAGCCAACCAGCACCTACTCGAGTAGAATGCCCCAGCAGCATTGCCACAAGTGTGAGGCTGTTGGGTGGTAGGCTAGCTTTTATAGCTGGCTGAAGGCTGAGGGCAGCTACTTTGCCCCCAGCCAAATCCCGGAATAGAGTCTGGCCCTAGATCAAACTCGCGATCAAGGGTCAAGAATTTGATGTTTCCCTAGCGGAACCAAGCTCTGAACCTTGGCAGTGCATCTGGCCTTCACCCGCGGCCAGACGCAGCCCCGAAACGACTGTACCAAGCCTTTTTCCAGTCTGCAGTCTATTCACAGTCCTGATGCTTCTAAACTTGCATCTGGACCGAGGCCGCGGCTAGATCCGCG